CTTGCATCCCTCTCCTTCCCCCGGTACAGCCGAAGCCCCGAGTCCGGTCTCCCCCTTAGATGAGGCCAAGATCGGGGTGTGCAGACACTCGCCCTTAGCTTGGACGCTGCTGGAGCCAGCGTTGGTGTTGTGACATTTAAAATGCGTCAGATGTTTTCTCGAACGAGTTTAACTTCTTAAATCGGTGCAAGCGCGTATCATCCTTCCCTGCGGAGGGAAAGCTCATCCTTCATCCTGCCAGCTCCGGCGTGCGGGGCCAGGGATCAGCCCGGTGTCACGGTTCCCACTCGAGCCCGTTTGCGGCTCGGTGCAGCAGCGAGGAGGGGAGCGGGTCCTCCTCGCAGCACAGCCGGCTAATTAGCAAAAAAAGCCACGAGTCATCAGCATGATGACTTCTCCTCCCAAGCCGGGTTTGTGCAGATGCCTGCCCAAGTTGCGGGGGCGTGAGCCGTATCCCCCAGCAGTGTCCCTGTCTAGGGCTGCTGTGGGAGCAAAGGGCTCAGTGCTTCCACCTCTCCGGCATCGCCCCTCCTCCCGCACGGAGCCGCAGCTCCTCGAAGGGGCTGGTGGGATGCTCTCCTTAGGAGTCTTCTGGCTGCTGCAGGCTGCCCTCGTCCATGCCCGCAGCGTGCCCTGCTCGGGGCCAGCACCACCGCGTGAGCTGCTCCATGGCCACGGAGATGAATTGAAACTCTGATTAAGGGGGCATCCCCACCTCCTCGTCCCTATCTGTCACCCCTCCGGCAGGGAGACCCCAGGATTCAGGGTGGTCGGGGCAGAGTCCTGCTTCCAGACTCACCCGGTGGCGCTGAAATCCAGGTTGAGGGCACACAGACTCTGAAGCATCATCCCTTTTACCACGAGCAACCGGAGTCTTTCCCAGCCACCCTCCCTGTGCCACCACCCGGGGAGGTCCCCGGGGCTGGGTGGTCCCATCACCACTCTCGTTCCCTCCGGCAGGTGGAAGAAGCCGATGACTGGCTCCGGCACGGCAACCCTTGGGAGAAAGCCCGTCCCGAGTACATGCTGCCCGTGCACTTCTATGGCCGGGTGGAGCACGCTGCCACCGGCGCCAAGTGGGTGGACACCCAGGTACGGGCTGGGGTGCAGCCTCGTGGGGCCGGCGTGCGGGGAACCTCCTTTGCATGGCTTGTCCCATCACCTGGGGGGCTCTCGCTGGCCGGCTGCACCCCGGGCAGGGGTCCTGCCAGCATCCCTGCCGGGGAGGGTTGCACTGGCGATGCTGCTTTGCTGGGGTGGAAAAGGCAGTGGTGGAGGAAACCAGGGGGGAGATGGACGTAGGGATGGGGGCAGCCAACCTGGGAAATACCCAAAAGCACCCCCAGCAGGTCTGCGTGCAATGCACAGCCCGGCACGACGGCTTAAATTAAGCTTCTCCTGACCTTCGCAAACCTCTCTCCATCCCCTGAGCGCTTCTGGCTTCTGCGGCGGGGGCTGGGGGCTACCAAGCACTGCCCCGTGCATGCCACCCTGTGAAGGTGGATGCAACCCTGAGCTCACTCCTGTGGGAGGGTCTGTGGGATGGCAGGGGGGACGTGGGGGGACGCCAACCGGGGGCACAGCCCGGCTCCAGCTGCCCTGCCGATGTCCTAGGTGGTGCTGGCGCTGCCCTACGACACCCCCGTGCCCGGGTACATGAACAACACCGTCAACACCATGCGCCTGTGGTCGGCTCGGGCACCCAACGACTTCAACCTGCGGGACTGTAAGTGGGTGCTGGTGGGGTGCCACGTGGGACGGGGCAGAGGGGGGGTCCTGTGCCCACCTTATCCCTCTGTTCCTCCCCAGTCAACGTCGGAGACTACATCCAGGCTGTGCTGGACAGAAACCTGGCGGAGAACATATCGCGTGTCCTCTACCCCAACGACAACGTAAGTCACGATGGAAGGCGGGGCGTCCCTGTTTTAGGGGTGGCTAAAAATTGCGCAGCCAATGTGTGAAGTGGAGCAGTCCCTCTCACCGGGACACTGCAGAGATGCTTTTAGTTGTGTTTCAAGCCACCTGTAGTGCTTGGATGGAGACTGCTGCCTCTCTCCAGGGCTGCAGCAGAGACGAGTCCGTTCCCGGGCAGCTCTGTGCTCGGCACAGTAAGGGGAAGGAGTGGGGATGAGCACGTCCTGCTGCAGGAACGTTCCTTGAGTCTCAAAGTGCAGCATAAAGGCAAACTGCTGAACACTGCTGGCATTTCTCTGCCGGTCCCTTGCAGCTCCAGAACAAGAGTTTGTGCCTCAAATTGCCCTTTGCACCCCAACCCTCTTGCTGTGGGTGCCCTTGCCGTGCTGCGCACTGGCTGGCACGGAGATGCGATGGGATGTACGGCCCTTCCTCGGCCACAGAACAAGGTGCGGAGCAGGGGACGAAGGCGAAGGGTGGTTCTCCTTGCTCTGCAGCCTGTTTTGGGCTGGCCATGATGTTTTGGTTTGGTTTTTTTTCCCCCTGTATAATCCTACCCCAGCCTTCCCAGCTGACGAGGAGAGCTGGGGGCACCACAGCCCCAGTGGTGAGGTTGCCTCCTGCAGATCCTCTCTCGCAGACCAGTGGGTTGATGTTTCCTGCTGTGTGAACAAGGCTTTTAATTCTTGTCTTAGAAATAGCTCCTAAGTGTTACAGCCCCTGTGGCTTCCCTTCCCGTTGCCCCAGTACCTTTCCTTGCGGCCGAAACGTTCCAACCAGGGAGAACAGGTTTCAACGATGCTCGGGGGGAATTAAACCTCAGTTTGCACCAGCACATCTCAAACCCCGGTGCTGAAATTTGGAAAGCGAGAAGATGTTGGAGTTAGAGCTGCTGCCGACACCGGCGCTGGGGAGCTCACACCGTGCCCTGCGGTGGATGTGTGCCGGCGTGGGTCTCCGCCGGCCGGGAGCCCCCGGGAAGGCACAGCTCCTCCTGGGCAGCGCGGTGCAGTCCAGCAGCGTCCCACTCCTCTGCCCACAGTTCTTCGAGGGGAAGGAGCTACGGCTGAAGCAGGAGTACTTCGTCGTGGCTGCCACCCTCCAGGACATCATACGCCGCTTCAAAGCGTCCAAATTTGGGAGCACGGACAGTGTCCGAACCGTATTTGATTCCTTCCCCGACCAGGTAAAAGCCATAGTTGCTCTGATGTGTGATTTGGAGTTTGTTTTGATGTCTCCCACATTCACACCCGGGGCTGGAGGGGGTTTGTGGACCTTCCGTGGGTGCCCGTGCCTCACTGGCTTGGGCAGTGGGATGCCCACGTTGTCCCCAACTTGTTCCCGTGTGCCACCCCTGCTCTCCCCGCAGGTTGCCATCCAGCTAAACGACACGCATCCCGCCATGGCCATCCCTGAGCTGATGAGGATTTTTGTGGACATCGAGAAGCTGCCGTGGAACAAGGTAGGGAGACCCAACCTGGCCCCTGGGTCCCCTCCACCTGCACCTGCAGCAGAGGAGCTGGGGAACCAGTTTTATAGCTGCTGGTGGCCTGGGGAGTGATGAGAAGCAGTCAGGTTGGGTTTAACTGGTATGGATTTGGAGAAACCGGCTCGGCCGTGCTGCTGGCCATGGTGGGAAGACCATGCGTGGGTGCTGCCTCCACCCTCACCGCTCAGCACCGGCTCTTCCCCTGGCAGGCCTGGGACATCACCAAGCGGACCTTTGCCTACACCAACCACACGGTGCTCCCTGAAGCCCTGGAGCGCTGGCCAGTGGACCTGGTGGAGAAGCTGCTCCCCAGACACCTGCAGATCATCTACGAGATCAACCAGAGACACCTGGATGTAAGTGCCTTGGGGCAGCATAGGAGTCCTCTCCAGAGAGGGGGACAGGGATGACATGCATTGTGCTGGTGGGATTAGGGGGGTGCACAAGCCGATGATGTTGGGTGTGCAGCCGGGCTGCTATTTTGGGAGGTTGGTATGTAGGAAAACCCTTCCCACCAGTGTATGACCATCCCACAGTTAGTGGCTGGTTTAAAGGCTTCACTTGTTGCTCCAAGGACTTACCTGTTGGCATTTGATCTCTTCAAGAAACTGCTTGGAGAAATCCCATGGGTGAGGGCTCTAGAGGGTAGGGGGGCTCAAGAGAGCTGGTTGATATTCAAGTACACTTCCTCCGAGCTCAGGATTGCTGAATCCCTAAGAGCAAGAAATCAGGCAAGGGAAGCAGGAGACCCTCATGGCCGAGCAGGGACCTTCTGAAAAAGCTCAGGTGGAAGAAGGAAGTTTACGGTACATGGAAGAAAGGACTGACATCTTGGGAAGAGTACAAGAATGCTGTCAGAGTACGCAGGGATGAAACGAGGAAAGCCAAGGCCTCCTTGGAATTAAATCTGGCAGGGGATGTCAAGGTCAACAGGAAGTACATTGGAGGCAAAAGGAAAACTAGCTGCTTGGAGAAATCCCATGGGTGAGGGCTCTAGAGGGTAGGGGGGCTCAAGAGAGCTGGTTGATATTCAAGTACACTTCCTCCGAGCTCAGGATTGCTGAATCCCTAAGAGCAAGAAATCAGGCAAGGGAAGCAGGAGACCCTCATGGCCGAGCAGGGACCTTCTGAAAAAGCTCAGGTGGAAGAAGGAAGTTTACGGTACATGGAAGAAAGGACTGACATCTTGGGAAGAGTACAAGAATGCTGTCAGAGTACGCAGGGATGAAACGAGGAAAGCCAAGGCCTCCTTGGAATTAAATCTGGCAGGGGATGTCAAGGTCAACAGGAAGTACATTGGAGGCAAAAGGAAAACTAGGGAAAATGTGGGCCCGCTGTTGAACAAGACAGGTGCCGTGGTGACAGATGATGCAGAGAAGCTGGAGTTGCTGAATGCCTTCTTTGCTTCAGTCCTTACTGCTCACGCCAGCCCTCGGGAGTGCCAGACTTTGCGGGTAATAGAGCAAGTCTGGAGGAAGGAACGCTTTCCCTTGGTTGAAGAGGATCAAGTTAGAGATCAGTTAAATAAACTGGATATCCACAAGTCCATGGGTCCTGATGAGATGCAGCTGTGAGTGCTGAGGGAGCTGGCAGAAGTCATTGCTGGGCCACTCTCCGTGAGGGTTGTGGTTAGTGGCGCAGAGTCTAGTTGGAGGTTAGTAACAAGTGGTGTCCCTCAGGGGTCAGTACTGGGCCCAGTTTTGTTCAACATATTCATCAATGATCTGGATGAAGGGATAGAGTGTACCATCAGCAAGTTTGCTGATGACACAAAACTGGGAGGAGTGGCTGACACGCCAGAAGGCTGTGCTGCCTTACAGCGTGACCTCGCCAGGCTGGAGAGTTGGGCAGGAAGAAACCTTATGAAGTTCAACAAGGGTAAGTGTAGGGTACTGCACCTGGGGAGGAATAACCCCATGTACCAGTACAGGTTGGGGGCTGACCTCCTGGAGAGCAGCTCTGTGGAGAGGGACCTGGGAGTCCTGGTGGACAACAGGATGACCATGAGCCAGCAATGTGCCCTGGTGGCCAAGAAGGCAAATGGCATCCTGGGGTGCATCAAGAAGAGTGTGGCCAGCAGGTCGAGGGAGGTCATCCTCCCCCTCTACTCTGCCCTACTGTGGCCGCATGTGGAGTACTGTGTCCAGTTCTGGGCTCCCCAATTCAAGAAGGACAGGGAACTGTTGGAGAGGGTCCAGCAAAGGGCTACAAAGATAAATAGGGGACTGGAACATCTTTCTTATGAGGAAAGATTAAGGGAATTGAGTCTTTTTAGTCTGGAGAAAAGAAGACTGAGGGAGGATCTTATCAATGATTATAAAGGGAGGTGCCAGGGGGATGGGAACAGTCTTTTTTCAGTGGTGCCCAGTGACAGGACAAGAGGGAACAGGCACAAACTTGAACATAGGAAGTTCCTTCTAAACATGAGGAGGGACTTCTTTCCTTTGAGGGTGGCAGAGCACTGGCACAGGCTGCCCAGAGAGGTGGGGGAGTCTCCCACTCCGGAGATATTCAAAACCCGTCTGGATGCCGTCCTGTGCAACCTGCTCTGGGTGCCCCTGCTCTGGCAGGGGGGTTGGACTACATGATCTCCAGAGGTCCCTTCCAACCCCTGTCATTCTGTGATTACTTTTTTTTTTTGCTCCCTAAGTACTAAATTCATCCTGGAAAAGGATGAGGTTGGGCATAGAAAGGAGATGGTGGTTTGGCCTCCTGGTCTGGCAGCACAAGGCTTTTGCCAAAATGACCCTGCTGGCCAAGCACATGCCCACAAGCCTCTCTCCATGGAGGCTGGAGGGGTCCTGTCCAGAGATGTCCTTTTTGGGAAAGGGCACTCTTTGGAGGGGGTTTGCACCCTCACTCTGGAGTAAAAGCCACCCTTCTGGCTGGTGTTGAATGCACTGGGGACATTGCTGTGGTCCCCACTTTGGGAGGCATTGGTGAGACATCCCTAAATGCCAACACCGCTCACCACCTCTCTGGCCTCCACTGGCAGCACATTGCGTCCCTCTTCCCTAATGACGTGGACCGGCTGCGGAGGATGTCCCTGATAGAGGAGGGAGGCACCAAGAGGATCAACATGGCCCACCTCTGCATCGTCGGCTCCCACGCGGTCAATGGCGTGGCGAAGATCCACTCCGAAATAGTCAAGACCCAAGTGTAAGCATGGGGAGAGAAGTGGTGGTGGATCACTCTTGGCTTGGGTATGATGGTTGGTGCCAGGTGGGCAAGCCTGTAGGTGTCCCCTCCTCATCCTTGCAGCTTTCAGGACTTTGCAGCGCTGGAGCCGGAGAAGTTTCAGAACAAGACCAACGGCATCACCCCGCGGCGTTGGCTCCTGCTCTGCAACCCGGGGCTGGCGGAGCTCATCGCAGAGGTAACGGTGCGGGGGGAGCGTGCTGGCCCCCAACCTTTCCCCACTCACCTGAGTCCACTGCTCCTGCTTTCCAAGCACCGCTGGCTTTGCGGGTGCGAGCAGTGTGCCTGATGAAGGTGGCTGTCCCCGTCCCGCAGTCAGCGCGTACTTGTGCTCCTGTTGCAGAAAATAGGGGAGGACTACGTGCGGGACCTGAGCCAGCTGACAAAACTGCACGAGTTTGTGGATGACGATCTCTTCATCCGGGAGGTTGCCAAAGTGAAGCAGGTGAGGGGTGCGGGCAGGGGGGACGCAGGCGGGGGGAGCACAGGTTGGGGGCTGACGCGTTCCCTGCCCTCGCCCAGGAGAACAAGGTGAAGTTCGCACTGTACCTGGAGAAGGAGTACAAGGTGAAGATCAACCCTTCCTCCATGTTCGACGTGCACGTGAAGAGGATCCACGAGTACAAGCGGCAGCTGATGAACTGCCTGCACATCATCACTATGTACAACCGTAAGCCACTGCGTGCCCCGAGGGGACGGGCTGCCCTGGGGGTGCACAAGCATCCCTATCCCTTGGGCCTGCAGCTAAAACAGAGGGTGACGCCACGCTGCTGTCTTCTCCAGGTATCAGGAGGGATCCTGCGAAGCTCTTTGTGCCGAGGACAGTGATCATCGGGGGCAAGGTAAGCTGAGTCAGGAGTTCTGGGCATTTTGGATGAAATCCTTGAAGATGCCTTAGAGGATTTGGGTGCAGATGTTCTCATGGGGTTGGGTCTCTGAAGGCCTCTGGAAAGCCCTGAGGGAGCACTTGTCGGCTTCAACTCAAGCAAGGTTCTGCTGCCTATGGTCATGCAAGCCCCCAAAAACCTGGTGGCACAACACATGAGTTGGATGAAGGATGGGAGCAGAGCTGAGTGGGTGCTTCCCTGGGCACGTGGGAGCTGGGTGGTCGGCACCTGCCCCGGCACCAGCCCTCCTGGCTTACCTGTGGCTTTTCTCCTAGGCTGCCCCAGGATATCACATGGCTAAAATGATCATCAAGCTCATTAATGCTGTGGGTCACGTGGTGAACAACGACCCGGTTGTGGGGAGCAAGCTGAAGGTCATCTTCCTGGAGAACTACAGGGTCTCATTGGCAGAGAAAGGTAGCCCACATGGGGCATGCTGTGGGTAGGGGATGTCTGCCCTGTGGCTGTCCACCAGCCCATGGCTCCGTCACTGCGAGGCAACAGATCTAATGTCCTTCAGCATGATACAAGCCCAAATCCGGTCACCATAAGCCTCTTGTGTCCGTGTGTTTTGTTGGCAGTGATCCCTGCTACCGACCTGTCGGAGCAGATCTCCACAGCAGGCACTGAGGCATCGGGTACGGGGAACATGAAGTTCATGCTGAACGGGGCTCTGACCATCGGCACCATGGATGGAGCCAACGTGGAAATGGCTGAGGAGGCTGGAGAGGAAAACCTATTCATCTTTGGCATGAGGGTGGAGGATGTCACGGAGCTGGACAGGGAAGGGTGAGGGCTGGGTATGCTACGGGGGTGCTACCATGGGCAGCCGGAGCAGCACCATCTCATACCAACCCTTCCCCACCAGGTACAACGCCCAGAAGTACTATGACCAGCTCCCCGAGTTGAAGCAAGCCGTTGACCAGATTAAGAGTGGCTTCTTCTCCCCACAGGAGCCTGACCTCTTCAAAGATGTGGTCAACATGCTCTTCCACCACGATCGGTGAGGCTTGGGCTGCCATCCGTCCCCTGGGTTGGGTCTGCACAGTGCCTGTCCAGAGCAGCCCTCTGTACCAACCATCCACCCGCTGGCTGATAAGGTCCCATTTTCTGGCCCTGATGTTGTGCACATGGAAGAGCAATTGATGCTCCACAGGTGCAAAAGGCTCTCTACGTACAGCACTTCACGCTTGCCACATTAAAGCCTGGAGTATGTTATGGTCAAGGCATATTTGGGCGCACAGCCCTTGCCAGATGGTAGCTGCTTTTAGGTATCTCAAGGGCTTTCTTGGCTGGTGCACGAAGCAGCCGAGGGCGTTTGCACTGGGGAGATGTTTTCCTGGTGAGCTGACACAGGGTGTGCCCTCCCGGGGCACCCGTCCAGCCCGTGCCGCAGCTCCCGTGGGCTCGCAGGGCTCTGTACAAACAGGGCTTGGGGAGGATGAATTCTTCTGAAGCATTTGTGTTGGAGGACGCCCCAGATCTGGCAGCCGGAGCCCTGTGCACTGCTGCCACCGCGTTCCCACCTCCACATTTCTGCTGTCGCTGACTCCCCCTTTCTTCGCTGCCGCAGGTTTAAAGTCTTTGCAGACTATGAGGCTTATGTCAAATGCCAGGAGAAGGTCAGCGAGCTGTACCTGGTGAGTGCCAGCCCGGGGACGAGGTGGGGGAGCTCTGATGGGAGCACAACATCCCATCCTGGAGAAGGGGTCTGGTGGGGCTGTGCGAATAGATGGGTTCCTGGCGAGGAGGCTCCTGGCTGTGCTGCTGCAGGGGGACCCTGGTTGAAAGTCGGTCCTGCAGCCAACATGGCACCCATGGGCGTAAGTCTGGCCACACTGTCCCACCACTCTCCTTGCAGAACTCCAAGGCATGGACCAAAATGGTCATCAGGAACATCGCGGCAGCCGGCAAGTTCTCCAGCGACCGCACCATCAAGGAGTATGCCCGAGACATCTGGCACGTGGAACCCTCTGACCTGAAGATCCCGCCACCCAACGAGCCCCGGGATGCAGCTGAGGACAAGACCCCCAACGGCACGGCGGCGTAGGGGCATGGAGTTGTCACCGGCCAGAGCTGGGGGACCGCAAGCACGTGCGCTGTAAAATTGTCTCTGCTGTCTAGTCTTTATGTTGCTGCTGCTGGCTTGCCTACGGATGGGGAAGGGGGGGGATGACATTTTTATAATGTCAGTGTCATGTGGAAAGCGAAACCACGTCGCCCTGTCGCTTGCATAGGTGCTAAAAATAAAAGTGCCATTGGAGTCCAAAGGGCTATTTGCTGAAGCCTAAAATTAGGGACTGGGCTCGCCTGCACCAACGCTGGCGCAGAAAGAGGGTGCAGGGGGTGAGGTGCTGGGGCTCAGTGCAGGACAGGGTGGGATGCACAGCTGGCCACAGCTGGCCAAGCCCTTGCCGGTGATGCTGAAGCAGGACGTTAGGTGCAGCTCTCACCAGTCCTAAGGCATCGGCTCTGGGGGGGTGTGAAGTTAAGGGGTGTTTGCAATCAGGCCCATGTACCCCCATCACTGCCCCATATGATGCTCCCGGCCACCAGTTGCACGTTCCTGTCCCAGCAGCAGCACCCAGCTCGCACCAGTATCTCCACACCCCCCACCACCCCGCCCGAGCAACCTGCAGCACCCGCAGGACAGCGGGCGAATTAGAAAGTTTCTCAGTAGTTTTTATTGCGTACAGCAGTGAGTTCAGTGCAACGAGGGGTTCCCGGCGTGGGTGGGAGGGAGTGCTGGCGGTCGCTGCGCACCGCAGTTCGCATCACTTCATGTTCAAGAAGTCTCTGCAACAAGACGCAATAAATCTCACTCTGTGTCACTGACCATCCTGTGCCGCGTGGCAGCCTGATTTCTGATCCCTGCATGTGGGGCTGAGCTGGGGGTTGTCCCCAAGGCCACCTCCCTGTGTGACATCCAGACTGAGGACAGGCTCAGGGGAAAGGGACCTGCATGGCTGCAGCAGGGGAGGATGCACCCATGGCAGAAGCAGCCAAGGCTCGTTCTGTGCCCCCCCACTTTCTGCACAGCAGCACTTACTGGACCAGGGTGGGCAGCTCCGGGTTGAACGAGATGTAGTCGTGGCCCAGGCCCAGCTTTTCGGGAAAGGTAATGAACTTCACCTTGGTTTTGTCCTCGTAGGCGCTGCGTGCAGTTTCGAAGAGCTGCCATGGGGTGGGAGCGTGGTTAGCGGCATGCACAGGGGACCCCAAAACCCCTCCGAGCACACTGGGGCTGGCTACCTCCACTCCAGCCTCTTCAGTGACAGGGCTCCCCAGCGAAACAGGCTAAACCAGTGCCCGCCCCCATTAAAGTCCGCACAGAGGCGATGGTGGTCCCCACCTTGCGACCCAGGTGCGGAGGCACCACAGCATCATCTTCTGCGTGCAGGATGAGGAGCGGGCAGGCCAGCACCTTCACGCTGCGGGCAGCAAACACAGCACCGAGGAGTCACCCCAGAGCCGACGGACCCATGGGAGCCTCCCTGGGTGCTGCTAAAACCCCCACAGCAACCGTGACACCCCCCCACACACACTCCGGGCTCCCCGCTAAGGGCAGCTGAACTGCCCCAGGGTGATGCCCAGGCTGCTCGCCCAAGCACCGCAGCACCAAGCAGCCTAATAAACCCCCAACACAGGGTGCTCGGGCTTCAAAAGGACCCGTGAACGAGGTGGCTTTTAGCAAAGGCACCCACAAACACGGAGGGGGAAGGATGCCGCCGCCACAATGTGTGTTTGCTGCGATGCGGGTGGGACACGAGCACGTAGCGCTCAAAAAAAGAAGGACGTTGGCTTGTGGACTTTGCGCAATAGTAATATTGATATCTGAAGTTATGCAAATAAAAATCCACTCTTAAAGCATGAGTAAGCTGGGCAAACACAAATACCAGTGCAGGGATTGCATGGTGTGATGTGTCCAACCCGCCCCCTCCTCGGCCAGGCGGTCCCAGCATCATCCCGGCAGCCCCACGGGGACGGCTGTGCCCCTTCCCTCCAGGCACTCACTTCTCATCGCTGGGGAAGATCATGTTGCCGAGGGCTAGCGAGTCCAGGATGAGGTAGCCGAAACCCGGGAACTGGCGGTAGATCTGCCAGGGAGAGAGTTGGGGGGGTGCTAAGCTGTGGCTTTGATGGGTGCACTCTTCCCCTGCCAGGGGGAGAGCCCTGGGCCGCCGGGGCTGCCACCGCTGCGGGAACCCAAAGGCAGAGCCCCCCCCACCCCAACCCGTCACCACTGGGGGACCCCCACGGGCAGAGCCCCCGGGCTGACCTTGGTGATGGGGATGTGGGCGGCCGCCTCGCGGATGTTGGTGTAGGGCGACTCCAGGACGACAGCATCGACCTTGACCCCGGAGGGCAGCGCAGGGTGAGAGCAGGCATGGCTGCCGGAGGGCCGTGTCCCCCTCCTCGGGCTGCTGTCACGCTGCCATCCCAGGCAGCAGCCATGAGACCAAGATGCCTCTGTCCCACTAAGGAGGATGGGGACAGCCACTCGTCCCTGCTGTGGGGGCCAAGCCTGATGCTCAAGCAGAGTGACAGGGCCCCCAAGCTCCTCTGCGGTCCCCAAAATCTATCTCAAGGTGTTCAGAGCCCTGGGGCGGGGGGACACACACCGTGCGGAGCCAACCCAGCCACGCTGGCCCTTACCTCGCTCCTCCTGCAGTTTCCTTGCCGCGTTCGTGGCAATCCTGTGAGAAGAGAAGTGACAGTGAGGGGGAGAAACCACATGTCCCCGGTGGGGTGCACAGCACCCTCAGGACCACCACCCCCCCCGACCCCGCTACCTCGCCTGCTGAGTTTTGCTTTGCATGTGCCTCCACGAAGGAGCAGCTCCAACCCCTTGGTCCGACCCTGGGTGGCACCGGTCTGGCAGCAGTGTCACAGCCCGGGGACCAGCTATGGGTTTTGGCATCAACCAGCACCCACGGGGCATCTCCTGCACCTACCCCGTCCCCAAGGAGTGTCCCCAGAAGAGGATGCTGCTGTTCCCGCTCCGCGCTTTGGCCCAGTCGTAGAGAGCCAGGACGTCCGTGGTGAAGCCGCTCTCCGTGGGGTGCCCGCTGGAGTCCCCATAGCCTGCGGGGGACACAGCTGGGTGTCGTGACCCGGGGGGTGACGGCCCCAGGGGGGTCACTCGGCGAGAGGCAGGAGGTGACTTTACCTCTGTAGTCGAGAGCCAGGATGTGGAAGTCAGCAGCCCCCATCGTCTGTTAGAGGAATGGCACCACGTTATGCCCTGTTGGGGGGGGGGAGAACCCCCAAAACCCCCCAGCATGGCCGGGTTCACTCTGCCCAGGGTCCCTCTTGGGTCCCCGGAGCCTTACCCCCAACAGGTCCTGGTCACCCCACAGGGGACAACTTACCTTCAAGAACTGGATGCGGTGGCTTGCAGCCCTGATGGGAAAAATGAGGTTAGAGCTCTGGGAGGGCCCCTCGAGGCGCCCTCCACTCCAGTGCCGGTCCAGGCAAGGGACAGGGTGACCTTTTCCCAGGAGGGGGGAGAGCGGGATGCTCTGGGGTGGGTGAGTTTTCACGTTTCCCTTTAACTCAAAGGGATTTTCCTCCACCCGTGGGGTGGGAAACGGCTGCAGCAGCCCCGTCCCCCCCAGCACCGCTGGCTGCTGCACTGAGTTTGCTAGTTCTCACCCCACGGAGAGATGCTGGGCGAGCGCAGCCGCCGCAGCCGTCCTCCCCGGGGAGAGGCACGCGCCTTCTCATGGGTACTCGCCTGGTCCCCCCATTGCCGTGGAGATAGATGATCACGGGGTGAGCGTCGGCAAGTGCCTCCTCGTACCATCGCTGGTCCTTGCCCTGCGCCTCGGCTCCTCTGCTGCCTGGCACCGTGTGCCTGGGGGGGTCCAGAATGGGGTTACCCAGGGGGGGCTTCACCCAATTTAGCCGGGACACTGGCGTAATCACACAGCTGTGCCCACCGGGGATGCCGGGGCTGCCCCGCTCACCAGATGCCGACTGTGACGCCCGGCTCGGTGGCGAGGTACAGGCTGATGGTGTTGTTCAGCAGCAGCTCCGGCCGCCGAAGGTCCACGAAGAAAGGGAAGGCCACTGATGGAGAAACGGCAGCCATCACACAGGCAACCCACGAACCCTCACACCCAGCTGCTTTTTGCACATTTTTCCAAAGCGACACGTTGATTTTGTGAAATAATTTGTCTGGAAGCCAAGGGCCCTGCTATGGCTCTTGCCTCCTCCTGCTCCCACAGCTCTCTGCCACCTCCTCCCACCCGGATTTCCAGCCCCGTTGATGCTGTGCGTGCCCAGATGTGTTGCAATTTCAGGCAGTAAACAGGGTCAGCGGCACCGCGTTATTACAGCTTGCAAAACACGAGGCGCCAACGGGAAAGGTCCCGCCGTGCCTCCTCTGCAAGCCCACGGCAAAGGGGGGGTCAGATGGGTGCTGTCACAGTGCCACCCAAGCGCTGGGTGCAGCCCCAACCACATTTTGGGGACACCTCTCCAGCCTCCTGCCCACTGAGTCCCTGAAGGGGATGCTCTCCTGGTTGGGACAACCCCGGGGCACTCACGGAAGTTCAGGAAGACGAATTTGGTGAGCAGGACAGGGAAGAGGCGGATGAGGAAGGGCACGGAGATGTAGATGAGGAGCAGGTCCAGGAGGAGGGTGCGCAGCCGGGGACACCAGGCCAGCCAGCCCCTGCAAGGCAGACACCCCGTTAGCACGTCCCCTCCCACCCCAAGGGCTTTGGGGCACAGCGGAGCGGGGTCCCCGTTCCCAACCCCAGCTGTGATGGTTGGATACAGCAGCTTTTGCCCTGCAAGGGCCTGAGGCTGCCACGTGTATCCTTCTGGGACCGGGAATTGGTTCCTCACGACGGGGTTGTGTTTGGCTTTTGGGGATGGAGCTGAGGTGTTGGAGCATCCCCCACCGTGACACAGCATCATGAGAGGCCACAATCTGGTCCCCTGCAGCCTCCCACGGGACACAGGTAGGCAGGAAGGGCAGGGCACGTGCCAAAGCCGGGAACTACAAGCCAAACCGGCAACAAGAAGCAACCGATACTCTGCGGCAACACCCCGAGCTGTGGCTGGTGAGACACGGTCACAGCAGTGTCCCCAAGCCCAGCACCAAGAGCTTTATCAACTCCCCAGGGACAAGGAGGAAAGCTGGGACAGGGGTTCGGAGAGCCTGCAGTGCCGTGGGAGAAACCAGTCCCTGCAGCGATGTCCCTCAGTGCCACCAGCACAGAGGAGGGAGTGTGACCACCTCTGACGGCACCTGGCCCCGAAGGGCCGGGGGATGCATCCTGCTGCCCCGGGGCCGTGCCCTCTGCAACGAGCCGCCGGCAAGCCCCAGCCCCCGAGAGGGAAGGGAAAGCCAAGGGTTGCAGATTGCCCGGCATCAACGTCCCTCGTGGGCTGACAGCGCCAGGCGATGGGGAAACTAGTCCAGGGGATTTAGGGCAGACGTTTCTGACAGGCATCCAAGCACAGCTCGCTCCGTGCCAGCACATGCCTGGGGTCACCGTCGCTAATGCAGAAGCGGATTTAGTCCATTGCGCGTCCTGGGGAATGCTGCAAGATGTCGAGAAAGGGTTGCGAAGGAGGTGCCATGGCAAGGTGGCATGGTCTCCTGGGCACAGGCACCCTTCCCGGGAGGGTGCAGGGTGGCATGAGCTGTGCTGGAGTCATGGGGAGCTCCTCGAACCCCAGTTGCCTCCTGAGATTTTGGACCGAGCAGTCCCGCTGTACGCCAGCAGCAACGGGCCAGCAATGTGCTCGCAGTCGCTGCAGTTAATTATTAGGTGCTGCTCTTGGTCTACACCTAATATTCAAGTGCAGGGGCGAGCGCTCACACCCACTCTTGCTCAATGCCTGCTGCAGGTGAGAACCCATGGGTCCAGACCAGGGCAGGGGGATGCGCCCACCAAGGGGCACCTCTGACAGCTGGCAGGGCAACAGGCCACCGCATGGCACCGTGGGGACAGCAAAGTGACATGGGGGTACAGCCACAGCATGGAATCATATGGGGGGTGGGGAGGATAGCCACGGTATGGAATCACAGCCGTGGCAGGGTGACATGGGGACGCGGCCACAGTATGGGATCATGGCTGTGGTAGGGTGACACGGGGACATAACCGTGGTACAGGATCATGGCCATGGCAGGATGACGTGGGGACGTGGCTGTGGTACAGGATCACGGCTGTGGCAGGGTAGCACAGCCGTGGCTAGGGGGACACACATGGGGTCATGGCCCCAGCAAGGTGACAAGGCCACGGGAGCACGGCCACAGCACGGGATGACGGCCTCGGCAGGGCAGCACGGCCACGGCACGGGGACAGACCTACGGCACAGGGGACACAGCGGTGGCACGTGGTCACAGGAGACGCGGCAGGAGACACGGCCGAGCACGGCCACGGTAGGGAACAGGCGGAGAAACGCCTCACGGGGACGAGGACACGGTCCCGGGGAGCACG